AAAAGAAGTGTGTTAAAAAAAACAAAATTTTGAAAATATCACCAGCAGAATCTGACATGACTGTTTACTTCAAAACTATTATTAGTGCTTCTTCCCTTCAGTTGTCTATTGGCACACCAACAAACATTTGAAGCTTCCCTGACCTATAAACGAATTATTTGATATTCCTGCACTTCAGGCTTCAAAAAAGACGGCACAAAAGACCGTGACTGCAATTGAAAACTACGTGGTCTGATAACACGCGTTGTCATTATTGTCATCTTTTGCAAGAGCTTTCTAATCCTTAGTCAATTTGTCAAAATATTCGTTTGAAACAGCAGTAGGATCATACCATCGGCAATGTTTATTGTAGATTGGTTTTAGCAACAAACCCGAGATGTATGGTTTTTTGTTAGGTGTGATTAATTCACAAAAAAGTAAAATCCTCTGCTTTAATCACTTTGACCTGTACCAGTCGAGCGCCTTAACCATCTTGCATCAACCATATTTGCTTATTTAAAGATTAAATATTAAGTTGCTCTTACTAAACTGGGATAAAGACGCCTTTAGTTTAAGGTCAAATTGCTTCCGATTTCCATACTTTAAGTGTCTACGATTTGATTATCTATGGTTAAAAGAATTGTTAGAAATAAAATTTCTAGCATAATAAAACATAACAAAGGTGAACACCGATTACAAACGTCACTCTCAATATTCTTGTTATTTCGTCTTCTGAAACTAGCCATCTAAGTAAGTAGTTAATAGAAATTTCGGTTTAGCTAAAAATAATTGGCAGTTATTGGTGCTGTTAAAGACGTTTAACTAATGTCTGATATTGGCTATGTAAAAAAAAGATATAATTTTTTAATTTTTTCTAAATATAAATTAATGGCTTTTCAGCTGCGTGATAACTTTATTAAAGGTTTGAGTCAATCGATGCTACTGTTGACAAAATATTACTGTTACATGTCATCTTCCTTCACAGAATTACTGATAATGCCTAAAAAATAATCTAAAAAACAATTTTCGCTTAAACTTTTCCTGTGGCCAAAATAAGTAAGAATGCCTAAATACTGATAGCAAAAAATTGGTAATAGTATATTATGTCCTCTGAAACCACAATTCACGAAGCCGTGCTTTACTAATGGTTTTGACGGACTCAGACAGGGAAGAAGAGTAAACTAAAACTAATGTTAAAGAAGCTGATTTTATTCAATGACTACTATTCTTGTAAACCAAGTGCAGACTCTCATTAACTTAATAAATTTCCAGTATTGCTTGTAATATGAACTTATGCATTATTCTTCTCTAAAATTCTTTGGGTAAGGAAAGAAATGAACGCGTAACCGCAATCCGATATCCCTGAAAATAAATGCTAAAATGAGGAATTTATAGTTAAACAGCAAGAGAATAAACTTGAAGATCCTAAGGCAAAGTTTATTCAGTTATCAATAATGTTTTCGGGAATTTAGCATAAAGTCGGTGCTTCCAGTCCATTCATCAAAAAGACTCTGCAAGTCAAAATTACTCCAAGTAGAAGAGGTGTTTTGGCGAACATTTAAAGAATGTAAAGTTTGTTTTGAGACGAATATTTAAGAGATGTCTTTTACATTTTTACCCTGCTGGTAATATAGTATTCATATCCGCATGAGGTTGAAGCTGGTGAAACGATAATCATTGAACTGCGGTTGCAAAAAGTTTAACCGTCATATGCAATAATGTGAATAGTTTTGACTTGCAGATATAATTTGTACCGGATTTTAATGTATGCTTAGATGAAACGATCTGATAGAGATGGTTTGAGCGACATTTTAATATTTGCTATTCCTGCTCATAATTTCATGTCCAGATTTCTTCGGGTAAAAAAGAATTAGAAATTTTTACATCCTTAAAATTCCTAAACAATTTGAAGTCTAAAACTTTACCAAGATTTTTGAATACAGATAACTAACGTACATGCATTTATGAAGGACGTAACTATCGTCCGTTTAGTAAGACGCACCCTTGCAGTACTTAACGATATTTCAGTTAGATTGTCGTCAAATGGACTCAAAATAAAATTAATTTTCTACTGCATTGGCAGCTTATTTCGAAGTGCTTCACAGTACTACAGAGCCTTCTTGAGTTCCATATTACGCGTACTTATAACTCTCCCGTCGTAAACGAGAATTTCATACAACTTAATAAAAACGAACGCTTTCTTTATTTCTGGACTGTTTTCTACCCGTTAAGTTACAGCCTCATTTTCACAATGATAATTTACCGATATTAACTCTTTTCATTCAGCTGATTGTTGAAGAATATTCATTCCTGGAAAATTTTTCAAGAAAATTAAGAGAAGGTACTTCGTTCTTTATTTCATGTTTTACCCCAAGTGTATTTCTTTCATAGAACGTTACGTATGTTGAAGAAGCTGTTATATTGAGGTACCATACGTTTCTCCGATGAAATTGTTCAAGTCTTTCTTTAGAAGTCTTTCTTTCTGTCTTTATACTGCTCTTTCTAAGCGCCAAATTTCCTGCTTTTCAAATTGTTTCATCCTTGTCAACTGCTTCAAACTTCATTACAACTGTCTAGATGGCTTCTGTAACTTACATTTTGCTCTGAAGTGTAGCTACAGACCAAAAAACACCATCCTGCGATTAGCTTGTCGGCATTTTCGTAGTCCAGTCTAAACTTATGTACAGGTTCTGTTTGCTCCACGGTTGTCTCTACAGTCCAAACACAGATATAAAAAAATAATTTTTAGCCCACTATTTTATCATAAAGGTAGATTCTACTACAAAGCACACAACGCTAGTTTCCGTTAATGGAGAATCCTTAGTTAAAAGTACCAAAACTGAATCTTACACCGAGAACTAAACACAACAATACACTCAAAAAACACGATAATATATAATTGGTACACGTTCCTAAATACAAAACTCTACTTTTCATCAATGTATACTTGTCACCATCGTCAGGTCTACTGCAAATGAACTAAAAAATTCCAGTTTTTCAAAAGCAAGACGAAGTAACGAGTCCTCCTATCTCCGGTTCCTAACTAAATCATTTTATTTCAAAAATGATTACGTCCTTTAGATCCTTTGAAAACAAAATTCGTTTATATCTAGACAATAAGTACAATGCAATGACTTTATCATATTTATATACAAAAACCTCTTTAATTATTTCATCATAAAACTTATGTCACGTAACACCACAGAAAAAAGAAATACTTTAGCAATTTGCATCTCCTTTCAAGAATGAACCAAATTTACACGTACACCAGATCACTAGCAGCCTATACAACGTAGCAGACTCATATTTTATGAAGAAATCCCTCGCCGCACTTTGACAGCTTACATCCCTCTGTGGAATTACACTTAAACTACTAATTTAATACAACTGTAGAAAATTACAAGGACCCAAAAGAACGAAAACTAAAAGAGTGAAAGCGATGGAGACCATAATGCTCTAAAAAAACTTCAAGCAAAATTTTTAGTTCTGCATTTCAAGACAAGAAACTTTTGAGTGCACTAAAGAAAGTAAATTACTACTCCACACGACTGTAATTCAGTTTTTCTCAACGAAAAAGACATGCTTTTTGAAGCAGCATTTGCAAAGAGCGGAACATGTCAAATTTTTCCACAGTATCGCACGCTCAACCAAAAGGTGCGGTTCTCCACAGCTTCGAAAGAATGTAATCTACATTGAAGAAGCCAGTAAGGTAACTTCTTCAGTTTTGCATGTCAGGAACTAAGCTTTATCGTACACTGAAAGATGAAAAAATGTGGGACAAGTAGTCGACTTTGATGTAAACTGGTCCGCTTATACATGGGATGTTTCATACAGTATCGCATGGGTATTTTTTTAATTCGGTCTATAAAAATAGATTATTTCGCCAGCCCAACAAAGAGAAAAAAAGCCGCTTCTGCCAAAGTTGCGAAAAACCACATTTTTTAGCCAACTGTGACCCATTTTAAGCAAGTGTAACTTCCACTGTTGTCCACAACGTTATATGTTTTCGCAGCCTTCCCCAACAATTTCTTTGGTCATCTCATAAAGTCGATCAGTAAGTCCTACGAATACAACTGAAACACTGGTTACATAGGTACTTTCGAGTAGACCAGAAAATAGCCAAAAAAATTTTTGTAGAGTACTGTGCGGAAGAAGGGTCTGAATCTTACAGATTCCTGAGGGCATAGACACAAACGGCTGCATAATACCTTACAACACCCGTTATCACGAAAGCCGTGTCGTGAAATGGCAAAAGGACCAGAGCAACATTTTAGCATCAGATCGTTTGAAAGTCAGCAAAAGGTATATAAATAAATTTGAAACTATCACAGCTGAATTAAGCGGTCTCAAGAACCCTTATACAACAAACGAAGTTCAGGTTGACGATTTAAAGAAAAAAAAAAAAAACATATTTACCGGTGGGGAAAATTAACTGCAATGGCGTTCCAATTAGAAATAACTAGCCATTTTTCAGAGCCAAGAAACAGCAAAAACTATGGCTGCTTCGTATGCGTGGCACAATCAAGTGATAATTGATAATATAAAGACCAATGACCGAAAATTTTGCACAGTTTATCGAGATGACAAAGTTCTACAACGGAATAAACCTAACAAGGAAAACCG